GAGCATCAGCGGATGCTATTCTTACAGTACTAGCTCCAAGCCCATTTCAAACACTTCAATGAGGTCTCCAACTACAGTACCCTTCAAGGCCAGCTGGCCCCTCAGTGTCCAATTCCGCAATGTCTGACATCCATGTGAATCGTGGCCTGGGGCCCAAGGTACTTCCTGTCGGCAGCTGCTCCGCTGCAGCAAGCCAGGCTCTATCCCACAGGCTTGGCGGAGCTTCGCCGTGAGCCTGGGATTTCAAGATTTCGATTTGATAGTAGTAATAATGTGGTGGGGGGGAGGCAGTAACATTAATAGTAATATTAATAGTGACAAAATATCAGCAATAGTAAGAATAGTAACAGTAATAATATCCATGGTATCATGACACACCGTATTGTTGAGGTCCCAGCAGATTCCTTGTTACCTTTCAGACTTCTGCATCGCTATACACGTGGTGCGCCTAGTGCTGCTTCATGCATCATCATGCCTGGCATGCGAGATCTCAGGTCTTTGAAAGTCAATTAGCGGGAAATAGTATGCTGGTTCTTCATTCTTTCCTCGACCATTGCCTGCACGCAATCGTGCGAGTAAGCCACAGCAAGTCGGAGCAGACCAGAAGAAGACAGTTTTCTGAGGCCCCAGCCCGGAAGTACTGCAGACGTCGCTCGCTCCCCATGACATTGTCAGAAACGTGCCCAAGACTTTGATGATGCACAAGTTGATGTGTCGAAATTGGGGTAAACAATTTAAAGTAGCCGGCTTGAACTAGCTGTCCAGCGTATTTCAGATCTTAGTCGACCAGGTTTTCCGTTTGCGACTGCGATTGCTTGATGCTGCACACTCAGTAGATTCAGCAGGTTGCGTTGGCCGTGGACTAGTGATTTCCTTGCTACTGGCTGCTATTCTGAGCGCTGTCTTAGGCCTCGCTGTTGTGGGTACGCCGTGCGAGTGATGGCGCGAGGTTGCAGGCGGCAGCGTGCCAAGTTACTTAGTGTGCTAAGATGTCAAAATCTTGATCACAGCTGCAAGCCGCCCAGGTCCCTGAGATGCTTGCCGTGGACTGTGGCATGCCCAGGAGTTGAGGAATTTGGCGATCTGCTTTTTTGGGTGACAGCGGCTTCCAGGAAGCTTTGGCAACTGAGGTGCAGAATACCTGCTCAACTTCGCAAGTTCAGGTGACGTCTCTGCTTTACAACAGCGTTGGCATTTGCAGCGGCACACCCATTAAGCGGCTTGCATATGTTGACAGGAATGACTGTACCTCCCCCCCGACGCTGTTGGGGAGACGCCATGACAACCACCGGCGACGAGGAAGGATAAGTGTCCAGAAAATGCTTTATAGCCTCGCCAGCTGTTTTAGCCTTCCCTTTTTCAGTTGGGGCATAACAGATGAAGCAGCTAGGCTGCTGACATGCTATCCAACGTCAGACTGCTCAGGTGGTTTGCACACAACACGATTGCTTGAACTATCGTAGAGCTTTCCAGAGAGGTTTTGGAGTTTTGAAGCCAGCAGCTTGCCCACAATCCCTCAATGAACCTGCTACGCAGTTCTTTGTGGAGTGGTTTCCCGGACGTGGTCTTCTGGCAGGGACAGCCTACAGCTGGGAGCAAAGCTGAAAGGCGTAGCTTCAAGTTGATGTCTGCGTTGGTTGTGGTAAACGGCTTCCAAGGTCTTGAATTGACCGCTGAATTCAGGCCGGTTGCCCATTGCGTTTGCTGCGTTTAGGGGATGTTATGTGGCTGAGTGCAAGCCCGCTTTTGCAACTACTGACTCTGCTAGCTCTGCTTGTATGATACTGATACGCTGTTGATCAGGAGTGCGGTGAGCATCAGCAACGAGGTTGGCAGTCTGCTAACTGTAGACACGCGTGTGAGGTCTGCAGTGTGGGCGTCACGAACATTGACATGCCACAAGTCTAGTACTTGTACTTGTAGGACACATTGGATAAAGTCAAGTGAAGCTTAGAACACCCTGAAATTGCACGGCTTGGCAGGTGGGTTTGTTGTGCGGTCGTTTATTTGTGCCTTGATGCGGATCTTGCAAAGGCATGGGTGAGCCATGAGGCATCGGCGCTAAAACGTAGGCCATTTTATCACCTGGGTCAGGTCCTGGAGCTGTCAATTTGGAGCACATCCACTGCCTGAAGCCCAAACGGACATTCGATTTTCGAACGTTGCTTGGACGTGCATTGAGGACATGAACCGAAGCGTTGACTGTGCCAAGGAAGGCCCCTTCGTTGGCAGAGAATTCGCAAACCTTCGGCCTTCTGCTTGTGCCTGAGCATGCCCGACTGATTGCCATCTCAGCTAGCGGCAGCTGACGAAGCCTGTGCATCATTTCAATTGTTTGCTAGCTCTGCAACAGGCTTCATCGATACCAAAATCTGGCACGTCCATTTTCACTCAGCAACCTACGCTCCAGAGGGCCGGGCTCCCGGCAAAGGCGATCATGTCTTGGTTTGAAGTCTAGCCTTCGATCTTCATAAAAGGAACAAAGTACGGGGGATATGTTTCGGATAGAAGAAGATGCCTTCTGATGCTGATGATGCTACTGTTGATGGCGGAAATCTTGCACCACTTTAAGGCTCTGCCAAGAACCTCAAAGCTCCGCACCCTCTTTTGAAAATTGGTAGTGACTGCGAACAGCCAATTGGGACAAATGACTGGCCGAAATCTTGCACCAAATTTGTGGTAGCCCCAACGTTAAACATCGGGCGCGGGGTTTGTTTGGTTCCTGGGTGGTGCAAGATTTCCTCCATCCACCGTCAGGGTCTAAGCTGCGAAAATACACTAGGCCACAATCCCATGTGGCGAACATCTCTGCCGGAGATCAAGTGTAATCTGGTACGCAGACAACGCTACAGTCAACGCTACCAAAACTGTGGTTTTCCAGGGTTTTGCTAAACATCACATTAAACAGCTTAAGAAATTCTTGTTAGCTGTTTAATGTGAATTTCAGCAAGATCGTTGTTTTCCCAGAGTTTTGGTAGCGTTGACTGAGCATTGACTGTGCAAACCCACAAAATAGCTAGTCTTTGAGCGTTTTGCTGAGCTAAATGGTGGTTTCCAACGGATTTGCTAGCGTTGACTGTGCAGACCCACACAGTTTTATAGGTTTTGAACAAGAAACATAGCCAAATGGCGATGTTCCCACGGCTTGTTGCATAACTGGCTCTAGCATTAATTTTGGGCTCTACCTGCGACCCAAGCCCTAGCCCTAAACCCCTGAAACTGTATATGGTATGCGCCTTTGGGATTCTGAAAGTGTAGACCCCGTGGCTCCTTGAACGGAATACACCGCGCAACAGCGGGTACTATTGTTGCCTCCGGAAAAATAACAGCGGGTACTATTGGTAGAGGAAATCATGCACCACTTTAAGGTTCTGCTAAACCTCAAGACGCACCCTCTTTTGAAAATTGGCAGTGACAGAGCGAACGGCCAATTGGGACAAATGACTGACCGAAATCTTGCACAAAATTTGTGGTAGCCCCAATGGTAAACAGGGGGTGCGGTGTTTGTGTGGTTCATGGTAGTATTTGTTAAGATAGGGGTGGTGCAAGGTTTCCTCCATCCACCGTAGCTCTGGGGATCAGCACCGTGAAGGCAGGCATGATCCTTGCAGCAAGCTTTCGCGTCCACCCCATGAAAGGTCACAGCTCATCTGCTGGACTTCAACACCACAGGACTCACTGGATGACAACTCAGAACTGCTCAAAGGCTAAGCTGACTTGATTCAAGCGTGGCAAAGCGGTTGGCCCATGTCACATATTGGTTACTGCTAAGCTGCTAAACTATTGGAGAGCTGTTAGCACCAAGTTTTGCGCGGAAGTCGTGGTGCAGCGCTGAGGAAATGCCTCTGCAAGGCGCCCAGTGCAAGTGTGGCTGGCAGGGTTTGTCTTTGGATGCGCACTTGCATGGTAGCTGTGAGAACTTTCAGCCGTTGTTTGGACTTGAGGCCGTTGTTTGATCTGCTGTCTGTGCTGCGACAGGGGCTGCATCCCATGTCACACATGCACATGTTTACGTACATGAGTTAGCTAGAGGTCCTAATTGCGTCCCCGTGTTCTCGGTCTAGAGCGCGCGGCAGCATGTAGCACAGTGCAGAAAGCGCAGAAAGCTGCAAACCCTGCCCATCTTTCGAGCAGAACTTAAACACAAGGAGGCGTCAGATTGAACGTGCCCTCACCCTGTCGGTTCACTCACCAGCTGGTTCAACTCAAACACTCTGCACTTTCCATTTGCTTAGTGATGTGCGGATAGGGCAGGCTGCCGCCATGGTGCGGCTTGAAGGCTTTCATGCTGCCAGCTGCGGCTAGGAGCCTTTGTGAGGCCTTGTCAACCCAGATGACCGATTGCATAATTGTCGCATGACCTGGCAGGGATGGACGAAGGTGTCTCCAATAGGATCCCAAAGGCCTGTGTTGATTCGCCATATTTCGCCATCAAATGCAAGATCGCTTAGCAGCCGGCTTCTGGCGACAGTATGGCAGCGCTGGAAGCTCGTTTGGGTTTCAGGGTACATTGCAAGGGCTTTTTCACATGCGTCAATGCCGACTTGGCCATGCCAGCAGGCATTTCGTTCAGCAGCTGCACCGATCGCACCAGCCCAACAGCGGTGGGCCGCGCCGCCCGTTACGTATGCCGCAAGGCGGCACGTGCGACAAGCCCCTAAGGCAGGGGCCCAAGCTGATATTGAGAGTCTGGGACTGGGAAAGCGTGCCTCGATATATCTCGATATTGCATGTGCATCCTCGTCGCAGGTAGTGCCGCCACCGAAGCGAGGCACTGTGACAGAAGCCAGGCGGCACCAGTCTTGGGCAATCTTCTCATCTTGCAAGACCACTGTTCCAAGTAGTTTATTTGTAGTCCGTGTCAGAACAAGATGCCGCTGGGTCCAATGCCAGTGACATGCTCCACGTGCAGGCCGAACAGCGCAGCGAGCAGAGTCCGCCCAGTGCCTTCGCAGCGTGTGGGCCCGCAATGGGTTCGCCCAGAGCTGCTCGAACGGGGAATGGTGGTCCTGCCACTCGGTCACAAGGGTTTTCCAGTGCCCCCCTGATCGAAAGGTGTTCTGAGTGTTGTGTGTAACGTCTTACCGACGCTGTAAGTTGCGAGATTCTTTTTAATCCGCAGGTCCGACGCCCAGATCCCCGACTAAGGTGTCAGGATGGTGCGCGCGGTGTGATTGAAAGCGCATTCTCAGCTCTTGACGAAGTCTATGTTCTCAAGCACGGCTCCAAACAGGCAGTAAAGCTGAACACAAACCAGATCTCCTTCCTGGGTGAGTGGTCAGATGCAGTTGCATGGCGGCAGCTGTCGGACGCTTTTGCATAACTGCAAATAATTTTCTCGCTGGCAGCCCATAAGGTTGAGATCATCAATTCCGTGGAGGTCCCGCCAGATGTCGAGGCTATCCTCGGAACAGAGCAACTGGAGCAACTGCAAGAGTTGGCGGGACAAGCTCCAGTCCACCTGGAAGCCATGCCGCAGGACCGCAAGCTACCCTGATTTCCGCGTGAATTGACTTGAGCCTTTCTTCAAAACCATGACGCGCAACCTAAGAGTCGTTCAATTTTCGCAGGAGGGCGCTCATGGAGCTGTGGCACAACTCGTCATTGGCCCAAGCACAGCAAAGGCTGTGAAGGCGGCAGTGGACACCATTGTCAGCCACGTCGACGCTTTGAAGCATGAAGGTACAGTGGCACCAGAAGACTATGTCTAGTGGAATGCAGAGGCCTGCGGTGAAGATGTTCCAGAGTGTGAACCTTATGGTGGCTTGGGTTCAAGACAGTGACATGCTTTTCTGACAAGGATGGGCTGGACTATCCGGAGGCCAGCTACGCAAAGGCTGCCGCTGACGGCACAGCTGGGGCTCTGGCGGTGTCCGCTGCCAGCTCTGTGGATTCGTGTAACCTGGCCCCCTGGCGCCAGCAACGACAGAAATGGCGGCGGTAAGTGTCGTAGCAGGTTCAAACATTTGACATATTCAACAACGTGAGTATAGATGTCTGGCAGTGGGTCGGATTGAGGATGTTTAGCTCTAGGAAAAGCTTGACTTATGGACTTATGCTCTCCAGATATTCCTTGGTGACAACGGAAGGTTGCTGCGGGTGACCAGTGGATGGCTCCGATGCCAGCTACACAAGCCGCGCCATTGCTGTATCCACCGGGCTCGCCGCCAGTAATGATGGTCCCGGTATCCTTTCAGCTATTAGGAGAGGGAGATGAACGGGTATCTTGCAGTTGGTTTATAAAGCACACGCTGTGGCCGAGCGTCCAGCCTGAGGTATGGCCAGGCTCGGCCGGAGCATCCTTGACGTGGGCACAAGCAGGGTTGCCCATGGCAGACCAAAGTTTTTTGGGCAGCTCTGCGTCCTGGACCGACCCACCTCAGACGGTGGAGGTGAGGGCTTAGATTTTCCAACAATCCTGTTAAGAGTCGAGTCCGGCCCCTTGATTTCCCAAGCAGAAAAAAAGGCTCTGTTCCCCAATCTTGCGCATTCATCTTCCACAAGGGTGTGCTATGCTCAGTGCGTGGAAGGTTTCAGTGGATGCAGAGCCACCACCGGTGCAAGAGATCCCTCTGAGATTGGATCAGGCAGAGCCAACGAAGCAGGCCCCGCAGAACTGCGGCAGAAACTTGCAGTCTGGCTCTCCGTTGGTGATGTGGGCTTTACAAGGAGAGGCCAGCTCCAGCGGCTCCACCATGGCGCAACAAGGCTCCAGGGAGTGAGCTGAGTTTGTCAGAAGTATCTAATTGAAGACTGGAGCCTCAGCAGGAGCTCCCACCGCCTCCTGAGAAGAAGCTCGCACCGGAGAAGCTTTCAGAGAGGCAGACTGAGGTGGCTCGAACTGGCACCACCGCTTGGACCTTGGGATGCCATGGGCGGCTGTTCTTGTCACGGAATGCCTCGGAGCGCTTCTGAAGGTCAAGCGATACAGGCCATCAGCCTTGGCAGGGAAGAGGCGACGCGAGGTGAACGTGAAGCAGGAGGCCGATACAAAAATTCTTGGGCTCGTGACTCAAGATTAACCGGCCAGCAGCTAGCAGCCACAGGTGGAAGAGCAGGATGAGGAGGCTGGTGGCCTCAAGGCTGCCAAGGTTGTGGATGAGGACAGTCGATCTCGACAACATGGAGTGGCTGCAGCGGTCTGAGTCTCAGCATTGTGCATTGCATGACATGGAAATCCTCTTGCTATGCTCTTTCTAGCCAGACCCGCGCCACATCATCCCATGCTGTTGAAGAGGTGACTTCCAATGAAAACCAGATCTATCTATTCACTTCTGGATGTGCATGCCGACGAATTGCTGAAAGCATTGCAGCATGCTCTAGTCGAGTCCAGTGGTGCTGGCAGGTGAGAGCACCAGGGAACAGCACGGACGCAGCTCAAGATGAGGAGAAAGGGACTGTGCTGTTCTGGGCGACCCAGCAGGACCCAGCATTGTGAGAAATGGCCGACTTCAGACTATCCAATTTGGTGGCCATATGTCCGTGAAATACCGCTCATGATGCCAGGATCAGTTTTCCCATCTACCCCAGCTTCCGGATGGTTGGATCAGAATCCCTTCCAAGTCAGCAGATGCCTACTACTATGTGAGCCTCTGCTGCCAAGCTTTGCAGCTCGCTTTGGCCTGCCTTTCTTGCTCGTTCATGCTGGGAATTGCATGTTTATCCAGTGCCAGCAGTGACATTGTCTCCCACTTCCCATAGAAGAAATTTGAGCTTCAGAACGCTGACATCAATGCTCAGGAACTTGACGACGGGGCGAGCAACCTTCCGATCGCCGTTGGATCTTCCTGTGGGCTGGGTGAAGGTGGTGCGGGTGTAAGCCACGGGTGTAGTGTGGCGTTAACCTGCGAAACTGAATGTGCGAGTTTTCTGGTCCGCTGCGTTAAGACTGCAACTGCCCGTAATTTGCATCAAAACGATCGAATAAGCCAAACTGCACAAGCAAATTTACTCGATTCTGATCATGTGCAATGTTATGCCCCCCTTAAGGCCCTTAAGTTCTTTCTCGGGGGTTAGGCACTTCAGGGACGCTTGAAGATTGGGCCCTGGGCACTCTGGGGACACACTGGGGTTGGGCACTGTAGGGCCTGGCAAAGAGGAACATGGACGTCGCAAGATCTAGCAACCCCTCTCAGTGCGGAATACATGAGTGGAGAAAAGGCGTCGACGGTCATAGATGTGAGTAAGGCAGCAGGCCTGTGATAGCTACAGAATCCGTTCGGCCGCACCAGTTGCGAAACGACCATAAGCCAAGACTTAATTCAAGCTAGACACTTGAACTTTGGCAGGTTTGTTCTGCCAAGTAGTTGCAGCGGGATGCATCTGCATGTTTATCATCAACGATTCCTGCCCGGAGAAAGCCTGCAGTGGCCTGTAGGTGATTTCCCGCAGCACGGGCAAGGAGTACTACTGGAACGCGGAGAAGCAGATCTCGCAGTTTGAGTTGCCATCAGAGTAGTTAGCATATCGCCAAGAAGCATTCTGATGTTGGGCTGAGCGCCTTCCCTGCACCCTTTGGCTACTTAACTTCTGCGTCCCCCAAGCTCCCGCAGGTCACCAGTCATGAGCAGCAACGGGAAATAGGTTGTTCTAAGAAGACATAGGTTGAATCTGAGACGTTGCAGAAGATTTGTCAAATGGAGCATGCGAAAGGCCGTGTTGGGTGTCAAGCTGAGACATGTATCTGCTGTGCAGCAGCCAGAACCCCATAGAGAGGATGCAACTCAGCACCCAGCGATCCTTTCAATTTCAATTATCGTCTGAATCGCGGAGGAGTGAAGAAGCCAAGTATATTGGTATCTGCTGATTGAGATCTCTGACTCCCGGCTTGTCGTGTCATGCCCGGTTTAATCTTGCAACTCTGCGGCTCAGGAGGTAGGATGAGTGAGGGTCATGGGGTGAAGTGGGAGGGGCTGAGGGGGCACAGCAGCTCCGAAGCTACAGATGTGCAGTTGCCTATGATCTCTCCTTGCCACGTACATAGGGTCACCCTTGCTGTTGGCAGTGCTACGTTTCTGGTTTTGGAACCAACGCAGTGACACTCCATAAGAAGAGCGGGCCACGGTCACCTACGGGTTTGCAAGCACGTTGCAGCCATGGCCGGCGTGCCTCACTTGCCAGAGACTCTTGGCCCAGTGAGTGGTCGTGTGATGGGCTCAGTCCATTGTTGCATCATGTTGCATCGCTCCCGCGTGTTCCATCAGAGAGATCGCAGAATACAAAGTGTGGCAGTTGACTGCAAGATCATGCAGACTCGAGAGTCATTATTGAGAGTCCTTGCAGCCTGTGGGACAGCTAGTGCTTGCTGGTGCCGACTCGAACGGACGACACGCGCCCGGGCTCGGAGCCTTGCTCCGGTGTGCCTACAAGGGGCGTGCACAGCCTGTAGAAGAAGAAGAAGAAAAAGAAGTGGGCCTACCCTTAAGCTGTGGACACAGTTACCCCCAGAGCAGTTACCGGCAATATATGTGTCACCCACAATGAAGCCCCTACATGAAATAGTGCTCTATGTGATCTAACCTTTTACCTACCTTGTTTGCACTTGTGTTTCCGCACCTTAGCCAAACTGGGGCGCCACGAGTTTCACGCACCACGAGCCAACTCCCATAAACTTGTTCCACACCATAGCTTATACTCAACCTTTGTTTTTCCGTGCACTTGGCATACAGGGCATACACCATGGTAAAACGCACCATGAGTTAGGGATTGTGGCAATCACGCTGGTTTATGAAAGCCCTTCATTTGGTCTTGTGAGCCACAGTCTCGACCAGGGGTTCGGTTTTCACCCGCCGATCAGCCCTACACGGGCTGGGCAAGCCGCTCGGGGAGACCCAAACCGGGTCTCCCCAGAGCTCCAACGAAAGAAAGAAAGTGGGTAGGCCCCTCCACCGCCCGAAGAAGAAGAGAGAGCGTAAAGGAGAAGCCTCGTTCGGGGGATGGGCACGGCCAGCAGAAGAAGTAAAGGAAAAGAAGTAAGCGAGAAAACAAAGAAGAAGCAGCAGAAGGCAGGCAAGCGAGAGAACACCAATTTGGCGCGTGAGATTGATCTGAGGAGGGCACATTTTGGCAAGGCAAGGCTGGCCAAGCTCCACGCCCGACACGACCTGTTGCACCTGCTTAACTTGCATACACCAAACTTGCATACACCAAACGCGATATCCAGGATAATTAAACCTTATCATAGTGACTCCATGTGCCCAAATTGGGGCTCCTGTTTTTTGCGATGACGCAATCACAGATGTCGAGCTGGCTGTAATCTGTCTTGCTTTTTCATCTGCCCAGAAGAATATCTCATCTGCTCATGTCTGCTCATAAATGTTACGTGCGAAGGCTCCTGCAGAGCCGGATGACCAGCCGTTGTTCGTGATCCATGGTGTTGAGACAAGCCAAGGCAGCTCGAGATGAAGCACGCTGTTCTTGTTTTGAGGGTTATTCTGAAACCATCGTTTTGCTTTTCATATAGCGAGTTCGCAGCATAGGAATCCAGCATTATTTTCTTGGCGCACGAAAGCACAGCGAAAGGTCATGACTCATGATTCTCTCGGATTGCTTTTTGAACGAGAGCAGCAGCATATCCAAAATTACAGTTTCATTGCACACGCAAAAGCTCCGCGAAAGGCGCGGCGGTTGATGAGTTTTTGTCGAAAGGCATTGTTTCAACAGCCCTCATTTGGGACTCGGGGTTGTTACAGCACCCGGGCATGGCAATGAAGTGCGCAACCTTGCCATACGAGACTTGCATGTCCCAAATATGTTTGAGTCTTGACTAGGGCACGCTCATTTGCAGGTTTGACGCAACAGCAGGCTGCGCCGGGTGCATGGCAGGGAATCGAAGAGAATCTCTGTCGAAATGAGCTTGAGGTGTGAGCATTTGCATACCAGAGTGGGGGTGACTCAAGCTCAATTCTTGATGTCGTTCTTCATCATGCTCGGCCAAACGAAGCATTATTCGCAGGCCCATCCAGAACTGGACAAAATTGCGCCAATGCCCACCGAGCATGAGCGCAGCAGCTTGTTCAACAGGTGTTGTCACAAGTTGGTTTTGAGATTTTTCCCCACGCATGCCTGTCCACAGCAAGGAGTGTTGCGCAGAGTGCTTAACCAAGGCATCCCAGCATCACCATCACCACGTGGACTTGCAAGGGGCCGAACGCGCAGGCTGTCAAATCAGGACCCGAAAAGCACAAATGCCTCAGTACGGCAATACTCAAAAGTACGACTAGAGGGTAACCATCATGGATGTCGCATGTTTCATAATGCGCCAGCTATAAGATGCTTTGAAGCTGCGATCATGCTGAAGCAAAAGCACCAGCAACAGTCCTAGCCACCGTGGGAGGAAGCCAGAAAGTCTTACCCTCCGGCTGCAGAGGACATTTTGCATGAACTTGATCACGATCTGCAGATTGGTCTGTGTACCTCCTCCTCTTCTGGCTTCCCAGCTGGCTCAATTCTTTTTTCGCTTTGGCAACAAGCACATCCCTGACCTGACAGTAAGTTGGAGTCGCTCATGGGTTCTTGCAAACGAATTGACGTAAGCATCCCAAGCAGTGCCATGAAACAAGCAGGTGAGCCTACAAAAGACTTTCAATAAGACATGCTGGTAATCGAAACGATCTTCCTGGAACAGTAACAAGGTTCTTGGAACAGGGATAGGGTTGCAACCGCTCCATGCCTAAGAGAGCGAGCTCTTGCGACAGCAATTATGTAGCCTATCTGCGGAAATCCGTAAAAGCACGGCCGAACGAATTTCCCTTTTAGCATGTCGGAACAAGCTGCAAGCAATAACTGTTAGGAGTTGGAATTTCGGGTCTTTGGGTGGAAGTACTTGATGAACCGAAGATAAGAACAGAAGCGTCAACTCAAAGGGCCAAGACGCAATGAACTGATCGTTCTAAACATTGCAGTTGATTATCAATGAAGAAGTCGCGAAGCTTGGAATAGAATCTGCCTACATCACACTTTGCCAAGTTCAGTAAAAAGTGCCTGCAATCATTCACTGTTAATTTAAAGACTGGTATATAGTAGCTATATAGGGATCCCAGGGTTAAGGTGCCATACTGGGGCCCATGGTTTCAACCTGAGACCATAGTCTTTCAGACAATTCCAGTTTGAGGTGATCTCAGTACTGGTTCGATATCCTTTGTTCTGCTGTGGATTGCTCAGTTGGTTCCCTTCAGGTCTCAGGATGCTTGGCTAATGTTTCCTACCAGTACGTACTACAACTGCAGATGGTTGCAAAAGTTCTTGGAGTTTCACACGTACAGTCTTTCGCAGCACAAAGTCACCCTTTGCATGGTAGTTTCCACCTCTTGTGTTGCTGAAGCCGAAAACAGAGAGCACACTTCTTGATGTCTCATGCAAGTTGACTTGCAGCTGAGGAAATCCTCACACGCCCCCTCGTGGCAAGGGTCTTCTTCGTCAGGCAGGGCTGAATCACCGTCCCTCCTGCCCAATCACTGGCCCAGTCTTTATCTTGTCTTGTCTTCGCCCTTGTGTCCCTACTTGTTTGGTCTTGCTTTCTTTTCCTTGTCCCGGCTCTTTCAGCCCTCCTCCGCCCTGTCTTCTGCTGTAAGGGTGCTGCAGCATTTACTTTTCAGCAGATACCTGCTTATATAGAGGATATCGATCCATGGAGAGCATATTGAAGCGGCTTTTTACTGGGACAAGCTTGCTTCAGAGATGGTTGACTGTGCGACTTTGAGGGCCCAGGCTCTGCTTTCTCGATTAAGTCTTCAGGGCTTAGAGCTATCATTACATGCCCTCCCCCTGGTATCAAAACCCTTCACCGTCCCCTGATATCAGATATTCCCAAAATGTGGAGATTTGTTGGCTCCAGCTGTTGAGGTTGGCTGCTTGCATGACAGGCTACCATCCACCGTGCGCTGGATTCAGAGGCCGCACCCTGAATTCATTAGAAGCCATCTTTCAAAGTCATGTGAGCAGCATGTGTTCTGCATGAAAGAGCTATGATGGCAGCGAGACTGCAAGAGTGCTCGCGTAGCCGCGGGCCTGCTCGCGTAGTCACGTGTAGGTTATTTTGCCCGCGTAGTCTGCGTAGTTCGTATGTTTCATAAGACTTATTGCGTATTATGTTGTGTAGGCCAGGTGTGCCGCGTAGTCCGCGTAGTCACCTCACTAGCAAGCTTCAGAGTATCCCCGCGTAGTCTCTTCCAGCAGTGAAAACAACCATTCCGCGTGGTTCGCGTAGGCCCTCCATGTTAGCAGAAGAAACTTTACGAGGAACAAACACTGCTCATGTGGCACCAAGCATGAGGCAGAGGCTGGCCTATCGCACTCCCTGGACCTGACGGATTTCTCCGACGGTGGGATGCAACCTCTGGTTGATTTTGTTTGACTTGCTATGCAAGAGCCGCCCAAACCCAAGCCACGAAGGAATCGCCGTTTTGCCCAGCATATATCGGCTGAGTATCCTGTACATATTACGACATAGTTATACATGATCGTCTCACAGTTTTCATAGAGGGAAAGGGCCGCGGAAAGCACAACACCGAAAACTTTGTTCCCCGGCTTTTGGAGATCTACGCAGCATTCTGTTGGCAGCAATGCTCTTGACGTCATTTCACTGTAAAGCATGCCCTAGGAAGATGTTGAGCAGGCAGGCAGCATCCTCACCCAGCACGTCCAAGCTTGGCTCGACAAGTGACTTGTTCGAGAGTTGGGATGGCCTTGCCTTGTAGACGGGCGAACAATCATGAAAGTCAGGCGACAAACGCTACGTTCACCCGGCACCCGGCTGAACATGCGGATCCCGAGCTGAGCATCGGTAGCTTGGCGGAAGATGTGTCAGCGTCTGCACTCATTCCCAAAACTCATGAAAAGCACTATTGCATCCGCTTGTCATTGCTTTGGGCTGCAGAGTCGAAGCCAAGCCAAGCAGTTGCTTTCTCCGTCAGTCTGCCATCCATAGTTGGCATCTTGTCCGTGGCGGCCGTGGAGGGGGCGTTGTTCTGAGCAATCGTCTAAACTGACTTTATAGGGCATTCTATAGGGGAATATCATAGCTTATTAAGGGGAATGCTAGGAGTTTAGACTATAGCTCATGTTGCTCCTGCTGCTGGTGCCGCTGTCAGCAGAGGCACTGCCCCGGCGGCCCCAAGCACGGCAAGGCCTGGCTTCGTGCGGCGGCAGGCCTGGCACATCCAAATCCCAGGAGTCCCAGGCATATGTTTGAGAGATGCATGCCTGGAGGCAACGGGGCTCAAGGGCGTCCCCGCCGTCCCAGCACAGGAAGAGACACCGGCTCCTGAAAGCAACCCCAGCAGGGTTGGGCAGGTTGAAAGTTGGCTTCAAACATGATGGTTTCTTGTGAGAAAGCCATGGGCTATGACACGCGGACCAGCATAACTGCTCGGATAACTGCTACTCGTGGCATGGGCCCACGTTCCTGCTTGTACTTGAAGTTGCGGAGCCTTCGGATTGCAGACAAAGCCAGGCCTACAGTTGGCACCTGTGGCGCGAGGCGGCGTGAAGCGTCGGACGCTCCGGTGGGGCCGTCAGGCGCCGTTCAGGGCATTCAAAATTTTGTTCCACGTAGGAAACATCTTTTGCTAAGCTTGCTCTGGCTAAGACTATGGTAGACATGGGACATCAATCTTTGAAGGACCATGTGTGGCCAGGTGACCAGGAGCAACATGGCCAGCGCAGATGAACAGCAAGTTGGGCCAGCCCGTGTTCTATCGTTTCGGGATGGCGCTTGGGCAGAAGTGGCCGTGGTGGATGAGCTTGTGAGCGCAGGTTCAGAAGACAAGTTCCTACAGCCTTTCATGAACTACATAAACATGGCATTGGCCGTTGTGTGTCAAATCCGAACGTAGTGATGCTTTGATGGGCTGGAGGGCATCCTCCATGCAGCTGCAGATTGGCAGTCCCAGATAAGGCAGCCCCCGGTCCCAAAAGCGAAGGACTCGGGAGGAGCTGCCAGCTGGAATGTATTATATACGCCAGCTTTTCTTTTTTGGGTGGGGGGAGGGAGGGCGGAGCCAGGGATAGGTGACGCTTCCAGCCTCAGAGATCTCGGTTGACAGCCTTCTGTGCTCTTGCGAGGAGCAGATCGTCGACGTGCCGGATGTTTTGGAGCCATCGGACTCAATGGTGCTGACTTCCCGCGGCTCTTCAAAGTTTGATTTTTTAAGGCATAGTAGCTGCAGCACGCGCAGACGAATTGCTGCTTCCTACTGCAGGCAGCATCACGAGCTCAAGAAGCATGCCAAAGGCACCGCGCTTTGTTTGGCATCCTGTGTCGTGATGTTGTCCTCAAGAGTATGCAGCAGCCAGATCGGCAGGGCAGTGCTTCCTATGCCTTGGAGCTTGACGAGCTTGGCACTCTTCCAGCAGGTCAGCCGATAAATGAGGTTTGTCACATTGTGAGCCTTGTGGGCCACTATGGTCGAAGCAGACATCTGCACGGGTGCAGCGGAAAGCTGCACTGCCACGCAGTCAGTGTAGGGCATTTGGGACGCCCCTGTAGGCAACTTCTTCATGGACACAGAAGAGGCTGCGCCTTCATTTTGCCGGAACGGCACCTCAATCAGACGCAGACAGGGCGTGCAGATGGGAGGTTGCCTCATAGACTGCTCCTTGCATCTGGAAAGACAGACCCGCCAAAGGAGACTGAACCTGCAGAGAAGAGGGCGCGCGCCAAGAGCAAAGGCAAGTCGCGTCTGGAAGTAGTGCCCAACAGCCATCTTGAAGGTTTGGTGCTCTGCAAGGTGGAAAGCTTGGGAAGCCCCGGCTGCGCTCACGACGGACGCCGAGTGCTTCCTCCTTGGGAAGATCGGATGAATTGGTGCATTGATGCATTTGGCTGGCTTGTCTGCGAAAAGCGGGGGTCTAGTTGAACACATCTCGACCGCTTATTTTGACCTTACAAGATTAATTTCTGTTGCAGCCAGTGAGCCCTAATCAAATCAAACACGAGCAGGCTGGATGCCAAGAAGGGTGAACAGTGCACCAAGGCCGCGAGCAGCCAGGAAACTGATGCCAGCGAAGTGCAAGGCATCGCAGTCCCACGCGCACAATACAGTACGGAGCAGCTGTCCACAGCTTTACACTGTACATCTCCATCAGAACTGCTTACATCTCAACTTTGCTTGATCCCCCCCCGGGCATTTAGTAAAACTTCAGGACTGACCGGGCATGGGCGCTGCAATCCATTATTCATTGCTCGATCTTGTTCTCTTCACGCTTGCAACTTTCTTGTCAGGCAAGCACACAAAGAGTGGCGAAAAAGCTGCGCCACTTGGTCTGAGAAGCCTCTCTTCGATAGGGCATCCGTGGCAATGTACGGTACCTGCTGCCCAGTTAAGATTCGCAGATCAATCTGTTAATGCGAACCTACCATGCTCTACGTAGACTGGCGAAGGAACGCGCCGAAGCGCAAGCAAAGGAAAGCATCTGCCTCCAGCGGCACAAGTGTCACTTGGCACGTTCCACCTTGCATTGCTGTTCAAAGACGACGCGTTTCAGGCTGACCAGCACAGCTTCCCCCATCTCATGGCTCAACTCAGGCTCGACGGCGGAAAGGGTCGAAGCCTTCCCGATGCTCTGTCTGTCAACACCAAGACATTAGCAAAGGGCCAGGGCCTGCAAACAGCTAAGAACCATTAAGAACCCAGGCGGTGCCTGGACATGAACATTTTCTCAGGGCCAGAGTCAGAAGTCGCAAGCCCAATAGGGCACCCTGAGTTTCTAGCATCCTCCAAACTGTTTGATGAGCTGGTGCATGGCCAAAGTACGTCTATCTGTGGGCTTCCTGCATTCTGGGTCCAGCTATGTTTGGGGAGGCCTGGAATTGCCTCAGGAAGTGCCATGCTGTTTTCAAACCCTAGGCTATGCACCAACATATCAGGATGTTAGTTTGGGACTAAGAAAGTGGCACCAAGACATCCCAGAGCAGCTAGAAAGGCACTGTAGTAATGCCTCCCCCCCCCCCCGTGCATGGCACCCGACATTGCATGGCCAAGCGTATGGCAAGCGACAGGACGCCATGTGCATGTTGGATCAGCAGGCACTGGGGTGTACCTAGATCAGCCAACTATCTTAGCAACCTCAGCCTTAGAGAGTGAATCCTCCATGTGAAGATATGGTACCCCAGACTTGCCCATGCACCAGCCCGTAGCTGAAAGCATGTTGATTTTGGTCAGAGTTGAAGATGAGGACATGTGCAAGAGGGGCTTGGTGGTAGTAGAGTGCTGAACTTGGCAAACTAGCAGCAACTCTTGTCTCAAAAAGCCTACCTAATACATTTCAATCGTAGCTATAAGGGCTAGTATGGATTGCGGATGCCCCAGAGAAGCAGAGCCATGATCTCTTCCCCATGACTTGAATGGAAACCCCTTAAATAAGGAGACCCTGATACAGACCCCAAGATACTATAATCCCTTCCCCCTAATAATAAACGAATGCACCCCCCTAATAATCAATAATCCGGGTGGGTCAGAAATTATTTATTCTTAGGTGGGCATATTTATTGAAAGGATTTGGTAGGGCCGCCTTTAAATTCCTTGTAAAACCAATTAAAATCGAATTATAACCCGGTTAGAATATGTTAGAATCAGTTGAAATTTAATTAGAATTCCTTTTAAAATCAATTGAAATCGAATTAAAGTCCCGTTAGAATCAATTGAAATTTAATCAAACTTCCTTTTAAAGTCGATTAAGCTCGAATTAAAATCCCGTTAGAATCAATTGAAATTTAATTAGAATTCCTTTTAAAATCAATTGAAATCTAATTAAAATCCCGTTAGAATCAATTGAAATTTAATCAAACTTCCTTTCAAAGTCAATTAACCTCGAATTAAAATCCCGTTAGAATCAATTGAAATTTAATTGGAATTCCTTTTAAAATCAATTGAAATCGGATGAAATTCAATTGAGATTTAGTTAAAGATGGCTAAAACTGTAATAAAATCATTTAAGGTCGCATTCAGTTCTTGTATATAAAAATCCTTTATAAGACCATATGAAAATCAACCAAAACCTAGGATGTCAAGGGGATCCCTGATTCCTTTGGATTTTCTATTATAC